CTCCTCCACCTCCTCTTCCCCCCTGGGGGGCGGCGCGAGGGCGCGAAGTTTGTGTTGTTGCGCTCCGCGCAGCGCGGCGCGCGCTGCCCCTGGGGAGACTGGACGAAACAACGGCATAAGCATGTTCAGTCGGAGCATCGCGCGGGCTTCCTGGGCCGGCGCTGGGCCCACCTGGCGGCGCCCCCAGCGCCGCCCCTGGGGCGCGCCCCGAGGTGCTGCGGCGGGGGGCTCCCGCGCCGGTCCGAGACATCCGAGCAGTTTCTATATGTGCCGGGTCTAAAATTGAGCCAGGCCTGTCCCTCTAGACGAGGAAGGTTCAAAAATTCTTCAAAAATAGGCTGGCGACGATTTTTTTTACAATTTTTGAATATTTTAGGGTGTTTTTTTGAGTATTTTCCATTTTTCGTCCAAAATCCCCCTGTGGGGGGACACGCCCGACTTAAGCCTAAAATTCCTCCGAAGACCGGCGCGGCGCGCGCGTGGGGGGGGGCTTCCGGAGGACGCCCTGGTGCTGGAGGAGGTCACCGTTGCGCCTCCCCAGGCGGGCGAGGTGCGGGCGATGGCCTCAGTGTCCCTCGCTCTCCTCGTGCCCCTGCAGGCTGGGGCCTCGCTGCCGCTGGATCACGCCACCAGCGACCGCGATCGCTGCGATATAACCGAGCGAGTGGTCCGCCGATCGCGGCGTCGGCCCTTTGTTTCAGTCGGGCCTGTGCCTTTGCAGGAGGAGTATTTAAAAATAGTCAAGAAATAGTATGGGGACGAATTCTGGACTATCTTTGGGTATGTTTTGGAGACGGTTTGACTATTTTTCAGTTTTCGCCCAGAATCCCCCTGTAGGGGGACAGGCCCGACCTGACTTCTTGTGTCGGTGTCGTCGCCACCGCTGTTGGGCACTGCCGTGGGGCAGCGCGGTCGTGCCGTGCGACCGGGCCCCATGCGGCCATACCACCCTTCCGAGAGCACGGCTGCACGCCGCCCGTGCGACGTGGCGCTGGAGTCCCAGGCATGCGACGCCCGGGTGTTTTCAGGGCGGGGGTCTCCGGAAGTCCCGACCCTTTCCCCGGGGCCGGTTTTTCGTCCCGAGTCGTCGTCTGTCGGGGGCGGCAAAGAGGGGGGTGATGACTAGGGGGGGTGGATATCATTGCGTGGGCCATGATACTATGATACTTGCTCAGATTTCGTGGCGCCTCTTCTTATTTCGTTACGTCCCCAGCCCCCCGCCCCCCTGGGCCGCGCACATGCCGCCGGCCATGATGATTTGCGCCCCCCCCTCGTGGACGCCCCCCTTCTTGACCGCCCCCGAGGTTGACGGTCCCGAGGCCCGGCGAGGGCCCCCGGGGCCGAAGAAACGGCCCAACGCCTCCCGCCCTGATCTCGGGCCGAACGAAAGGGGGGGATAGGGAAAGGGGGGGTTACGAAATTTGCTGCATGCAGCTGATTTCGGCCCCGCCGCCGGGCCCATTTCTCGATACATGGGCGCCCGCCGGCGCCGGGAGGCGCCAGGAAAATCAGCTACGTGAGCTGATTCTCATACCCCCCCTTTGCTACTCCCCCCCCTTTCGCCCAGCCCGATGATCTTCTTTCTCTCGACGCGGCCACGTGTGGGGTCTTCCGGGCGGGCCCGCTCCGCTGCCCGAGCGGGTCGGGCTTCCCTCCGCGAAGCCGTGGCTCTGAGCCCTCGGCGCCTCGGGACATCCGACGGCCCCGGGCCCTCCTCCTCCTCCTCCTCCTCCTCCTCCCCTCCCCCGCCTCCTCCCCCCCTCCTCCTCCTCTTGCTCCTCCTCCTCCTTCCTCCTCCTCCTCTCCTCCTCCTCCTTCTCCTCCCCTCCTCCTCCTCCTCCTCCTCCTCCTCCTCCTCCTCCTCCTCCTCCTCCTCCAGCCGCGTCTCCCCCCCCCGAAGCGCCTTCGGCCGTCCTCCGCGGCGCCGAGCATCCGGGGCTCGCCCGCCGGCGGCCCTGCGGAGGTGAAGATCACGCACGCCGCCCTCTGCCACACGGACGCCTTCACCCTCTGCGGCGACGACCCCGAGGGCAAGTTCCCGTCCATCCTGGGGCACGAGGCCGCCGGCATCGTGGAGAGCGTGGGCGAGGGCGTCACGGAGTTCGAGCCCGGGGACCACGTGGTGCCGTGCTACCAGGCCGCAAAGCTCAGGGGAGGAAGGGATGCCGATGCTGATGCCCTTCTCTCGTCGCCATGGCTGGGTCCGCTTCATCGTTCTGGCCAGAGCGCTCCCCAGCAGAGGTCCGTGGAGGAGCGATATGGGTCTCCGTCTGTTTCCTGAAGACTCGTGACCACTGCCCTTCTCTCGTCGCGACGGTTGTGTCCGCTTCAAAGTTCTGGCCAGAGCGCACCCTGGCAGAGGTCCGTGGAGGAGCGATATGGTTCTTGGTTTGTTTCCTGAAGATTCGTGACGTGAGACGAGGCAGGGGTACCGATACCGCTGCCCTTCTCTCGTCGCCTGGGTTCGCTTCAACGTTCTGGCCAGAGCGCACCCCGGCAGAGGTCCGTGGAGGAGCGGTATGGGTCTCTGTCCGTTTCCTTGAAAGGAGGAGGATGAGGAGGAAGAGGAGGAGGAGGAGGAGAAGGAGGAGGAGGAGGAGGAGGAGGAGGAGGAAGAGGAGCAGCAGAGGGACACAGGAGCAGAGGCGGCCTGCCCGACGGGAGAGGTGGCCGAGCAGGGGCGCACGAGGCAGCCGAGCACAGCAGGCGCGAAGCGGCGCTGGCCAGGCGCTGCTCCGGTGCATGCTGTGGGGTAGCACCGCTGTGGCGGTTTGCAGTCCCAGACATGATCGCGTCGTACAAAAATCAGGACGGCGGGTTTTCGGCCGTTTTCGGCCTCGTGGGGTCCTCGCCGGGCCTCGGGACCGTCAAAAAACGATTTAGGACGAAAAACGGGTCGGGACTTCCGGGGACGCCGCCCTGAAACAATCAGGACGTCGCCTGTCTGGGGTTCGAGAGCTCGTTGAGCCATCCTCGCTTGGCTGGTGTGCTGCTTTCCGAGAAGAGAAGAAATGAGCGTGCGGTGGCTGCAGCATGAAGTCGGGGGCGTCGAGAGGGGAGGCGAAGGGAAGGGGGGCGGGGATGAGAGCACCAGAGTACCCGCAGGGGCGCGGAGGTGGCCGAGCTTCGCGCTCCGCGGCACGTGCCGCCGGTCCGTCCTTCTCAAGGAAGGCCGCGCGAGGGCGCGAGGATGGCCGGGCGTTGCTGGGGGCGCGAGGAGCGAAGTTAAGTGGCGTCTGGGAGCAGAAAGGGGAGCAGGCGTGCTGTGGGAACGGATGCTGCTGACGAGGTGTTCATGATGATGATGATCATGATGATGGTGATGATGATGATGATGATGATGATGATGATGATGATGATGGTGGTGGTGGTGGTGATGATGATTATGCTCATGATAATGCGTATGATGATGTGGAGGAGAAGGGGGAGGAGGAGAAGGGTGAGGATGGCGAGGATGAGGAGCAGGCGTACTGTGGGAAGTGCGAGTTCTGCTTGAGGCCGAGGATCAACCTCTGCACCAGCGTGCGGGCTTTCACAGGCGCGGGCGTCATGAAGGCGCCCCCGCCCCTGGCCAGAACGAACTGACTCCTTCGCCTCGTGTTCCCTCTCCTCGTCCTCCCTCTGTTGCGTTGAGTGGGCATAAGCTGCACAGCTGTTGCGTTCATCCTTCTCACTCTCTCTGTTCCTCCTCCTCCTCCTCCTCCTTCTCCTCCTCCTCCTCCTCCTCACCACCACCACCACCACCACCATCATCATCATCATCATCATCGTCGTCGTCAGCAGAATAATCATCATCATCAGCAGCATCATCATCAGCATCATCATTATCATCATCATCATCATCATCATCATCATCATCATCATCGTCATCATCATCATCATCATCATCATCATCATCATCATCATCATCATCATCATCATCATCATCATCATCATCATCATCATCATCATCATCATCATCATCATCATCATCATCGTCATCATCATCATCATCATCATCATCATCATCATCCATCCCTATTCCTTACAAGTCCTCCCTGTAGCGCCTCCCTTTCGCGCCCTCAGGCGTGTCGGCAAGGCTGAACCTTGCAACAGCTTCAAGGTTGGAGGGTGGTTCCTTTTCAACATGTGGCGCTCACCTTAACGCCGCGCGCATTTATAAGTTTGCAGCAGTTTTAAGGATGGACGGCGGAACGTGTTCAAAATTTTTGGCTCTCGCTTGAGCGCCCCGCATATTCGTTTTCAACTGTTGCAGCAGTGTCCAAGATGCAGGGCGGGCCCTTTTCAACATGTGGCTCTCGCCGTAGCGCCGCGCACATTCGTTTTTACAGTTCGCAGCTGGTTCACGGATTCGTATGGTTGAAGGCCCAGGAACGGTGTTCTGGCACGATTTGGGAGTGTCAGGATGCAAATGTCGCGCGGCTTCGTGGTGCTGAAGTCCAAGGAGTGGCGGTCTGGCACGATCTAGGATTGTCAGGACGCAACAGTCACGTTTATTCGCCGTGCTGCAGTCACAGGATTTGCGTTTTAGCAGGATTGAAGTTTCTCGGACGGATGTCTTCCCATGAGGCCCTCCTGCAATGGAAACAAATGCGTGTAGGGACTTGTGAAGAGGGAACTCGGAGGGAGGATTGATTTCAACATCACTGGTGGGTCCTCCTCCTCCTACTCCTCCTCCTCCTCCGCCTTCTCCTCCTCCTCCTCCTCCTCCTCCTCCTCCTCCTGCTCCTCCTCTCCTGCTCCTAGGGCCTGGGAATTGCGCTGGGGAGCTCGCCCCCGCCCCACCCCGCTTCCGCCCCCCACCGCTCCCTCCCCTGCGGCCCTTGGGGACAAAGCCATGCGAAGTAGTGCAAAGCAGTGCAAAGCAATACATTGCAATTGGGGGGAGCCCATCCGATGCCCAGACCTGCGACGTCCTGATTTTTTCCATACGGGGTCCCTGGTCCCGACCCTTTCTCCGGGACCGGTTTTTAATCCTGAGTCGTTTTTTGAAGGTCCCGAGGCCCGGCCAGGGCCCTCCGAGGCCGAAAAAGACCACAAACCTCCCGTCCTGTTTTTTTGTACGACGCGATCATGTCTGGGTGGAACGGTGGCGGCGACGGATGGCGGCGACGGGTGGCCACACGCCGGCCGGACCGACACCGGGAGGGGGCGCCACAGCCGATCCTCTCACGGCAGGGTGTCGCCGGTGCCGCGGCGCCGCCATAGGCGGCGCCACGCCGCGACGCCGCACGGCGCCACTGCCGCCTCGAGATCTCTCCTCTACTGTAGATCTTCCACAGATCTTTCTCCAGATCTTCCTTCAGATTTCCCGCCGGTCTGCGTTCAGATCCCCCGCCACATCTTTCTCCACATGTTCCTGCAGGTTGTGCCTCATTCATTGCTGGAGAGCCCCCGGCCCCGGAATCGGCATCATCACCAGCGCAATCTTTTTCAAAACCACCAACCCTGGCGCCGCGCTGCGCTAAGAAACTGCACGCTTCAAAGCTGGCTCTCGCAAGAGGGCTAAGAAATTCAGCGAAGCTGGATCTCAATTTCTTACTGGAAGAGTTCTTAGCAGAAGTTTTGAGTGTAAGAGAATCGTGCTTGGTTATAGTCAGCCCGCATGGTACGGATGAGCAATTTTCCGAGGTTGCCCTTGCATCCTTCCCCATTCGGCCCATTCTCGGCCACTTTCGCTGGCCGCGCCCCGCTCGCAAGGTGTCGGTGTCGACCTGGCCTTCCGAGGCCCTTGGGTCCGCACCGCGCATCCTCACTCTGCGGCTTGACTGCAGCCGCCCCCATCTGGCGACGCGTGAAGGCCGACTCGAAGCCCAGATTTACCGACAGCAAGGGGGACCCGATCTACCACTTTATGGGCACGAGCACCTTCGCAGAGTACACCGTGCTGCACCAGGAGTCCGTGGCCAAGATCACGAAGGCGGCGCCGCTGGAAAAGGTGTGTCTCCTTGGGTGCGGCATCTCCACCGGCTGGGGCGCGGTCTGGAACACTGCCGAGTTCGAAAAGGGCAGCACCGCGGCTGTGTTCGGCCTCGGTGCCGTTGGCCTGTCTGTGATTGAGGGTTGTAAGATTGCTGGCGCGTCCAGAATCATCGCAGTAGATCTGCTGGACAAGAAGCTCGAGGTCGCCAAGAAGTGGGGCGCGACGGACTTCGTCAACCCCTCCAAGTTGGACAAGCCGGTGCAGCAGGCCATCGTGGACATGACAGGCTTCAAACATGAAACAACCGAATAAACATGTACTGTCGGAGGTCCGCGCGGACTGTCGAAAGTTTTCTCTTACTCGAAGGCTTTGGCGTGGATTACTCCTTCGACTGCACCGGCAACGTCGAGGTGATGCGCGCTGCGCTGGAGTGCTCCCACCGCGGCTGGGGCAAGAGCGTGGTGATCGGGGTGGCCGCTGCGGGCAAGGAGATCTCTACTCGGCCCTTCCAGTTGATCACTGGGAGGCCAGGAGATTGCTAATGGGGGTTGAAGCCAGCTGGGGGTCCGAGGTGGCCCAGCATGTTCTGGTCAGCAAATCTAGGGTTAGGTCGGGCGTGTCCCCCCCCACAGGCGGAACTAGGGCGAAGCATTAAGAACATTCAAAAAAAGAAAAAGCAAACGTAGCCAAACAAAATGCAAAAAATAGTCCCCAGACCATTTGCTACTATTTTGGAATCTTCCTCCTGTAGAGGGACAGGCCCGACTTGAAACTAGGGGGGAGAACGGCCTCCCGCCCCCCTCGTCGCCGCGATGGGACGCGGCTCGGAGAGCTGGCCGGCTTCGACCCCGGGAAGGGTCTGAGGACCGATTTTGAGTGAACTTGCCGTCGCCCCCGCCCCCTGCCCTCCTGACGGATTCTCTCCGGGCTCATCCAGCTCAGACGCCCCAGCCACCTCCAAAGCGGGGTTCACGGCAAAGCGGTCCAAGCTGTTTGGAGGCAGCGTCACACGTCGGAGTCAAGCGGAGTCTGGTCGAGGAGCCAATGGAGACCCCTCGCTCCGCAAGCGGAGACGGAGGCTGTGAGACTCTACGGCAGCAAAGCGCGCAAGCAAGAGTGAATTGGCGAATCGGGCCAACATTACAATGAATATACCATGCAACATGCGTTCCAACTCATCTAAATGAGAGCGGAATGCTCTAGCCGCTGCTAGGGGGAACGTTCCTGGTTGCTGACAGCATTGGTCAAATTCGTGGCGTGCTCCAGTCCGACAAAGAACGAATCGAGGGCATCTGTTCATCTCCGACGCGCCCGGCCTCGGCGTCGAAGTCCGGGCGGGCGCCAGTGCAAAATTTGCGCTGGTCATCTTTGCGGGTCGCCTGTGATAATACGTTCCACAAGACGCCACATTGAGCGGTCCATCGCAACGCGATGCGCACCTTTTTGCCTTCAGCGTCGCCCCGTTTCCTCCCAATGTTTGCCGGGAAGCTGGTTGAAACCAACTTAATGTGTGGTAGAGCATCTTCAATCGCGTCGATGTAAGTCGTGACCGATGATGGAGTCCGTTGCAGGCGGCCTGGAAATCAATATTTCTGTGCTCGTGTCGTGCGCGATGCGGATGCGCGGAGCTGTGCGCAAGCGTCGATGAGCCTTAGTCCCTTCTTAGGCCAAGCCTACCTGCTCATAATGTTCCTGCCTTCTGCTAAGTATGATGCTGGTCTACTGATCCTGGAGCTTGAGCTCTGGCGTGGTCCCTCTTTGACGCTCCACCTTCAGCAGGGCTGACGCTTACGCCGGCGCTCAACCTGTGTAGAGCAGAAACCGCAGTGGAAGCGGACACCGAACCCAGACATGGGACGTCCTGTTTTTTTCAATACGGTGTCCTTGGAAGTCCCGACCCTTTCCCCGGGACCGTTTTTTCATCCTGAGTCGTTTGTTTGGCTGACGGACCCGAGGCCCGGCAAGGGCCCCCCGAGGCCTAAAACGGCCAAAAACCTCCCGTCCTGATTTTGTTCTCCGACCCGACGTCGGCGGCGATGCATCGCCGATTCATCGGCAATGCGGCGAGATCCTCCGACCTCATCTACTCGGACCCCATCTGGGAGGCCTCTAGGTAATCAGAACGGTTTTCGACCATCTGGCCAGGACAAGGAGGAGGAGGAGGAGGAGGAGTAGGGGGAAGGAGGAGGAGGAGAAGGAGGAGGGGGAGGAGAAGGAGGAGGAAGAGGAGGCCTCTATACCCCCGCCTCGCATCGATGCAGGAGCATCGATGGTGGTCGCCGCCCAGGAAGTTCGAGCGGGCGGGCCCCGGGGAGGCGTCCGAAGATCGGCCCTCGAGCGGCGCTTTGAGGATCGACCCCCTTGAGGGTCTCGCCCGCGGAGCTCCCGGAGGTGGCCTCGCGGCCCCCGCGCGCCTCGCCGCCGGGGTTCGGCCGCGAGGACGACGACGACGACGACGACGACGACGACGACGACGACGACGACGACGACGACGACGACGACGACGACGACGACGACGACGGCGGCGGCGGCGGCGGCGGCGACGACGACGACGTCGACGACGACGACGACGACGACGACGGCGACGACGACGGCGGCGGCGGCGGCCGCGGCGACGGCAGCTCGAGAAAAACCGGCCAGAGCGGGCCGTGGGAGGGGTCCGAGGATCAAGCCTCGAGCGGCGGTCCGGGGCCGCGGGGCCTCCTTTAGGGGCCTCCACCGCGGGCCTCCTTGACGACGGCGACTCGACGTCGACCCACGCCGCGAAGGCTCTGCGACAAGGAAGGTCGAAGGAGAAAAAACGCCGTAAGCATAAACTTTTGGAGCTCCGCGCGGGTTTCTCGGATCCGCGCTGGGCCCCCCTGGCGGCGCCTCCTGCGCCGCCCCTGGCGCGCTCCGCGCGGCGTCCAGCGCAGATTCAAGAAATCCGCGCGGAGCGTCAAACGTTAATATGTTTATGCCGTTGCTTCTGCTTCTAGACGAACCCCTCGAAGGAGGTTTGCGGTGGCCTCTGGAGGTCCTGGAGTCACCGAGCGCGTTCCACTGCTCGCAAAGTGCCTGCTCGCAAACGTCATGCAGACACATGTCTCCCTTCATATTTGAATGGCTCGTAAATCCCCCGCGGCGGCCTCAGGCCATTCGCGAGCAGCCACTATCTGCGAGTCGTGGAACGCGCGTGCGTGCCCGTGGCGAAGGCCTTGGAGGCCTCCGGCGGCCAAGAGAGCGCGAGGCGTCCGTGGCCTGTGCGCCCTCGGTCCATCCGCCCCCGCGCGCCGCGCGCCTGGGCGGATGGCCGTGGCCTCGCGCCTCGCGGCCCGGACGACGGCAGGGGCGACGACGACGACGACGGCGAAGACGACGACGGCGACGGCGGCCACGACGACGACGCGGACGACGACGACGACGACGACGACGACGACGACGACGACGACGACGACGGGCCCGGGCGGCCGCGAGGGCGGCCCTCTGCAGCGCGGCGGCGCAGGGGCGCGAGGGCGCGGGCGCTTCGTGCGAGGGCCTTGCGGCAAGCGCCGCCGACCCTGAAGGGGGACGGCGGCGACGACGACGACGACGACGACGACGACGACGGCGACGGCTGCGACGGCGGCGGCGGCGGGGCCGGCGGCGGCGGCGGCTGAGGCGGCGGCTGCGACGGCGGCGGCGACGGCGGCGGATACGGCGACGGCGACGGCGACGGCGGCGACGACGACGACAACGACGACGACGCCGGCGACGACAACGACGATAATGATGAAAACGACGGTTCCGATGAATAGTAGTAAAGGCGGCAACTTTTCACAGACCTCACTCGTTCTCGCCAGACAGGGCCCCGTCTGCCGAGAACGCTTGCTGCCTCGGTCTCAGAGGCAATGGATGGGCTCGGCTTTCGGCGGCTGGAAGAGCAAGCTGGAGGTGCCGGGTCTTGTGGACAGGTACATGAAGGGCGAGGTCAAGATCGACGAGTACATCACCCACGAGATGAAGTTCGAGGAGATCAACAAAGCGCTCAAGCTGCTTCACGAAGGCGACTGCCTCAGGTGCGTCCTCGCCCTGTGAGTGCACGTAGGTGCAGCCTCGCCGACGGGAGCAAGCTAGACCGCGCTGCGGCATTGTCATTGTGTACACATGTTCGAAGCACGTGCGCGTGGTTGTGTTCAGTTGCCCTGACCAGTCCGCAGTGGCCCCTTTTCACCTTCCCAGGCCGAAGAAGAATCCGCGGAGTAAACATACCTACATTTCCAGAGCTCCGCTCGGATTTTTCGGATCTGCGCTGGCTGCCCTTGGTGCGCTCTGCGCGCCAGAGAGGACTAACGCCGATCCAAGAATTTCGCACTGGATTCCTGGATCTGGAACAGGCCTGCTGCCTCAGTTCCAGCCTGGTGCAGCGCGAGCTCTCAACAGCGTTCTGGGTTCTGGGTTCCGTACTGGACCTCTCCAGCCAGACCGAAACAAGCGACGTCCTGATTTTTTCCACACAGGATTCCTAGAAGTCCCGACCCTTTCCCCGGGACTAGTCTTTGCTTCTCATCCCGAGTCGTTTGTTTGGCGGCCCCGAGGCCCGGCGAGGGCTCCCAGGGGCCGAAAACCGCCCATCCTGAGTTTTTTTACGACGCGATCCTGCAGGGGCTCTCCGGTTTCACCTCTCGCTCCTCCGGTCGGCCGGCCCCCGCCGCGCGCGCCCCAGGCTCGCCAGCCCGCCGTGGCCTGCCGGAGAGCCGGCCGCCGCGGGCGACCCGAGGAGGAGGAGGAGGAGGAGGAGGAGGAGGAGGAGGAGGAGGAGGACCAGGAGGAGGACCAGGAGCAGGAGGAGGAGGAGGAGGAGGAGGAGAGGAGGAGGAGAAGAAGAGGGAGGAGGAGGTGGAGAGAGGACCAGTAGCAGGAGGAGGAGGAGGAGGACAAGGGAGGAGGAGAAGAAGAGGAAGGGAGGAGGAGGAGGAGGAGAAGAAGACAAATAATAATTATGAGAAAGAAAAGTAAGAAGAAGCATACTAATAATAATAATACGAATAGTAATAATAAGAATAGTAATAATAAGAAGAATAAGAATACTAAGAATAATAATAAGAAGAAGAAGAAGAAGGAGAAGAAGGGAGGAGGAGGAGGAGGAGGAGGACCAGGAGCAGGAGGAGGAGGAGGAGGACAAGGGAGGAGGAGGAGAACCAGGGGAGGATGAGATGACAAGGGAGGAGGAGGAGGATAATAATAATAACAATAATAGTAATAATAATAATAATAATAATAATAATAATAATAGTCATATTAATAATAATAATAATAATATTATTATTAATAATAATAATAATAATAAGAATAATAATAATAATACTAATAATAGTAATAATAGTAATAATATCCATATTATTATTAATATTAATAATATTGAAAATACTAAGAATAATAATGGAGGAGGAGGAGAAGGGGGAGAAGGAGGAGGAGGATGAAGAGGAGGGGGAGGAGGAGGAGGAGGAGGAAGAAGAAGAAGAAGAAGACGAAGAATAATAAGACTAAGGATAATAATACAACTTATTAAGAAGAGGAGGAGGAGGAGGAGGAGCGGGAGGAGAGGAAGAGGAGGAGGAGGAGGAGGAGGAGGAGGGGAGGAGGAGGAGGAGGAGGAGGAGGAGGAGGAGGAGGAGGAGGGGGGGAAGGAGGAGGGGAGGGAGGAAGGAGGAGGAGGAGGAGGGAGGAGGAGGAGGAGGAGGATAACCAGGAGGAGGAGGAGGAGGAGGAGGAGGAGGAGGAGGACCAGGAGCAGGAGGAGGAGGAGGAGGAGGAGGACAAGGGACGAGGAGAAGAAGAAGAAGAAGAATAATAAGAAGAAGAAGGGAGGAGAAGAATAATAAACAGGGAGGAGGAGGATAACCAGGAGGAGGATGAGGAGGACAAGGGAGGAGGAGAAGAAGAAGAAGAATAAGGGAGGATACTAATAATAATATTAGTAGTAAAAGTAACAGAAATCGTGAAACTAATACTAATACGAATAATAATAATAATACTAATCGTAATAATAATAATAATATGACTCCTAATAATGCTACAACATCTACTACTACTACGAATAATAAAAAGAGTAATAATAATCGTAGTAGTAGTAGTAATAATAATGATGCTGATAATAATAATAATACTAATAATAATAATAATACAACAATAATAATAATACTACGAATAAGAATAAGACTAACAATCATAATGATAATGGAGGAGGAGGAGGAGGAGAAGGAGAAGGATGATAAGAAGAAGAATATGGAGAAGGAGGAGGAGGAGGAGGAGGGGGAGGAGGAGGAGGAGGAGGAGGAGGAGGAGGAGGAGGAGGACCAGGAGGAGGAGGAGGGGAGGAGGAGGAGGAGGAGGAGGGAGGAGGAGGAGAGGAGGAGGAGGAGGAGGAGCGGGGGAGGAGGAGGAGGAGGAGGAGGAGGAGGGAGGAAGGAGGAGGAGGAGGAGGAGGAGAGAGGAGGAGGAAGAGGAGGAGGAGGAGGAGGAGGAGGAGGAGGAGGGGGAGGGGGATGACGCGGAGCTCACCTGAGAGGCCTGCATTCCGAGAGACGCTGGAGGACCCACGGACCTATCTCCGTGG